CCGCCGACTGTGGAGCACCCAGCGTCGAGGTCAATGCCGGCGCCATTTGAGCACCTTCCGGTGCTAGTGCAGCCACTTTCGATAAAACCTCCACTACCAATCAAACCTCCAGTATCGCCTACGCACCCGCCGACGGTAGAACACCCAGCGCCGAGTTCACCGCCGGTGTCATTTGAGCACCCTCCGGTGCTAGAACACCCTGCGTCTGCTCCTATGGACATTCCTGCTTCGGCTCCACATCCCTCTGCGCTAGAACATCCCGTATGAATAGATACGCCGCCGTTGTTGGAGGCACCGATACCAGTGGCTCCTCCAATGTCACCTGAACAACCCCCAGCGGTTGAACACCCGGCGTCTATCGAGGTCCGTGCACCGAATAATGAGCTGGCCTCTTGATCGAGACTTCCTCTCATAGCCGGATTAGCCACTCCACGTAATTTTACAGGACGGTCTGCTCCGATTCTGCCAATCCCACCTAAGCGAGACTCTCCTCCTCGTCTCAAACTTTGGCTTCCAGCGCCGCCTAAATTTAACCTTCCTCCAGAAGCTTGGTTTCCAAGTCCTCCTAAACTGACCCTGAAAGCTTTGATAGCAGCTGGTGCACTTATGGCTAGTAAAGCAAAAATAAAAAACAACTTCATGTCTTTTCGCTTTCGTAACACAGTTAAAACTAATCAATGCCATCGAATGCTTTGGCTCTTTTATAAAAACATCTGCAAAAATTGTGATAAACAATAATTACCATGGTTCGTTAGTGCATTTTTTTGAGTTTTTTTTTTTTATAACAAAGCACGACGTATTAAGATGGCATTCCGTTAATTGCAACAAGGTACAGAGTAACTATAATATCAACAAACACAGTTATTGTTTACGGAATATAATTAAAATTTAAGAGTTTTTTCAATATCTTTAATTAGATTTTTAAGGTGTATTCACCACAGCAAATTATCGATTCGCTGTGTTTTATTTGTAATGTCGTTGTAAATTGCAATAGCACGACTAAAACTTAAAACCTGAAGAGGGCATGGCATTTCCTATTGGCGATGTAACGTCAAATGCGTATTAGGCTGTAGTAATTTCATCCAGGGCCAGGCCGTGTAGGTTTTCTCCGTGCCACCTTATCTCTCCACGGAATGTATAACTGCACCTCCGCCCCTACCTTAGCATTGCGCAATCTGTAGAAAAAGATTTCAAGGACGTTCATAGCCGTCAAGATAAATTTAGTCAAAAACTGCAGGCTTGCAAACTCTGCTCAGTTGATTGTGATTATTTGACGACCGCTTAAATATCCAGGAGATTTTTGATAAATTACAGTTTTTGCAATTTTATTTTGATGCGGTTGTGTAGTTTTAATTTTCCGACGGTTCAGCAGAAAAATCAGTAAACTATGGCAATTGACACTTTGCCATAAATCAAGTAAAATCAATAAATAACTAAAACCCCAAACGCTGTTCTGGTATTCTAATTAGGATGTAAAAGATCACAATTAAATAAGTGACGCGAATTAAATTCAAGGACGTCGTTATAAATGCAAATTTACTTCGATAGGAACACAATATAGTTTTTGGTGTAAGCGACGACCTTTAGTAAATTTTACATTTTCGAACTTCCTTCTACGTTTTGACGACTTTATATTTTGTACTCCTTGCTTTCATCATGATTACTTCGATGTCCTCAGTTCTCTAGTCAGTATATCTTGCTATCTCACAAAAATAACATTTATTCAAGCTGTCAGTATTTTACAGATTGTTTTCAATCTGATATGTGGATTATGAATGGACTAAGTCAGACAGGTGTACGACTTGTGTCCACGCTGATGGGATTTTGTATGATTTCAGATTACATGCTATAAAATATGATTTCTACGTCTTAGAGGTTGAAAGGGCAACTAGTACCAGAGAGCTGTACGCTTAAGCGGGCTGAAAAGAAGTCTAACAGAAACTTCAGAAAAAATTTAATATATTTTCATATTTTTATTGCTTCTGGCTTTAATGTGATTTAATTTTCGATTTGCGTACCTACAGCATGAAATGCGCTTGCACATTTGTTTATTTTCCAGTGCACTTTTTTGCGCAAAGTGCAAATTTAGGTTTCGCGAAATTCGCAGTACACCTGGTATATTTAAAGGAACTAGAAGTAAGTCGAGGAGAAAAGTTATAATCTTCTCAAAGTGATGTGTTGTTTATTTATTTAGTACTTTTATAGTAAAAATTTTGTATGTATTTATTAAATTGTATTTAAACGGGCATAGATGAAATTATGTAGATATGTTCAACTGTTTATAAATGCACTACATTATATTTAGCGTCTTCACACAGCACATTTGTTGGTTTCAGGGTCTTTTAATACCCTACACCACTTGTCGGAAACCTCAACTTAAGTTTATGCGAACATAAATAACCCGCAAAACGACTGCAGTGAGTGCTCAGTCTGTGAAGGCATAACTTTTACCGGTTGGTCACACACCTACTAAGCTAAGGCTAACATATTTTCTTTCTCCTTCTCTTTCCTCACGCCTTTCTGGCAGTCCCCAAAGTACAGGCATAGGGGACATCTTCAAAATGATTAATCATAAAAAGAATAAAAAAAAAGGAATGGTAGGGCGTACAAACCATTAGACAATTTTATATTTTCTTGGGGTGTTGAACTTGATTGTCTATGAAATCGTTATTTATTATTTTGGGCGATCTCTACAAAATTTCCTAAAAGCGGTTAGATAAACTTCCTACCAGATCTTCAAAAAACGTATTTCACAACAGTTGCATTAAAGACCGTAATTCTCTCTTTATGTCTTTCTCTACGAACAACTTCGAAAAAGCAGTGGGTACTCCATAGCAGTAAGCTGGGTTTTACTGATATACTTTTTTCTTGTAATGATATATATAATATCAATATCGTGCTTTAAGTGGTTCATTTTTTTCTTAATTACATATGAATTGATTAAGACCTCCACTTTGTATCTTTCTTAATTTTTTTTTTTTTTCAGAATGTCTCCAACAATCTAGTTACTGTGGCTACACGTAGAATGGTATATTCATACAACCCAATACGTCGTTCCTAGTACACCTATTGGTAAATAATCGATCAAAGGCCCAGAAAATAGGCTCGAAAACTACTGTTTGTGTCAGCGGCATTCGACATAATTTTAATAAGAATTTAAGAAGGACAGCAATATCACTTTAAATTATTTACTCTTCTCATTGCCGGTTATGCTTTCAAGATAGCAGATTACATTAAAGGAAATATGTGAACTTTTATAAGATTAAAAATCACGGCTTAGCACAAACTTCCAATCTGTAAGGTTGCGCTTAAAAAAAAAACTCTTTTCTGAACCTTTATTTATAAGGCCATAAATTTTCATTCGATCCCATAACCTTAAAGTGTCATTATTTAAATATGGGGTTCATATCGACGCAACTAACACAAACACATAAATATAAATTCAGTAACCATATAATTGACATAATCACCAAAAAAATATCTCATGCATACAAAAGCATTCCCTCTCTTCGCGTATAAATTAGTGTAATATAAAGGAAAATATTTAAGATTTTTTCATAAATACAAAATTATGACATACAACTTGAAATGATTTATGAGTAAAACGAATTTTGAACCTTTTGTTAAAAAGAAATAAAAAATAAGAACAAAAGAAAAGCGAAAGAGAAATAAAGAGGAAAGCTTTAGTTACCTTTAAGCGAATCTTAGGCACCTATCACTTGAAGAACCTCAAAACTCATAGCAATACTATTAGAGGCACATATACGTTGACGTGTTAATCAGAATGTTATATGGATTGAGCCCAGTGAAAGCAACTCATACTTTTACTGACTACAACCTCAACAATTAATGTAAGGAATAAACACCCTCTGATTTTCTTATGAGTCGATCGTATTACGCGATTTTCGAAGTTGTTTCTGTTGCTACTTTTTTTTCGTGTTTTCGGATGGATATTGATTGGTTTTAAATTTGCTTTGGGAAATCAGCTGATAAGTAAGTAGCCAGCCTTTAACTTCCTCATTGCAAGTCTTGCAACGACGAGTTTTTTGTAGGATATCAACTATGTAAAGGGAAGAATCGGCATTTAACAGTCGATGCGTTCAAAATTCTTTGCATTTTACAAACTTCATACTCTGAACGATAAACTTAGTATACCACCTCGTTCCTCACTGTTGTAAACAGAGAAAGAGAATTATACGCAAATACAGTTTTTTTACATTCGAAGTCGAAGAACATTTTACAACAATTGAAGTTTTACCACGTAAAAATATTTTATTTGGGTATGGCCGCATCTTTTATACCCTTATATCGTCTTTGTCTTAAAAATAACATTAAAAAAAGGACATTTCTTTGTATAATATTGCGTGAGCGTGGTCGATTATGATTCATTTAAGTACAGGTACTATAGGAACGTTTATAGAACAAGTATCGACGTTTTTACTTTGGTGTGCCATACAGCATATGGACGAAAAGCCCACCTTATGTTAGATGTTATGTTTCTTTGGCCATAGTTTGATTTTTTTTCAAAACCAAGGTGCATGTAAGAAATTTGTCAAATTTAAAACCGCGATATCTTAATTTTTGTGACCAGCTACACGTAAACGGATAGACGGGCAGGCCAACCAAAACTTCCGTCTAAGCGTGTCAAGCGCTTCGACAAAACGGATGTACCCTCCAGCTAGCCGTGGTGCAATGTTAGCGAAAGGAATTGTCTTTTTTAGATAGGGTACTCAACTTTATTCGTTTATATTGGCATTTAAATGGTGCTTGTATACAGACCCAGAGTATTCCATAAAATGAACTGATGTTAAAATTGAGAATTTCAAATCAACTTTTTGTTCTTGAGATGATTTTTCAAGTTAAGATTTCCAAGTTGAAGTGAAGACTTACAAGAAATATTATAAGGATGATTTAAGAGTCCTATCATACACAACAGGCGCTAATGCGGATCGTTCCCGTTATGTTTAGATCCATATTGAACATATATAGATCGATGAACTGCTCGAACAAGTTCGTGGCAGGAGTTTATTTATCACATTGTTTTTTAAATACGGATTATAAAAAAAAGAGGAAAAGAGAAAATTTCCTCTTTTTTTTAATGTGCGCCTTTTCTTATTGCATGTAGACAATATGTTTATGAACATGTAAAAAATTCACCTCAAATATCTGCTATAAAAAAGATTGGTTTTGAGGTTAAAGTCTTTAACAAAAGATTAAAAACACTTTTAGGAAATGATTGCTAAAGTAAATTAAATTTTGCGGTCAATGTATCTAGTGGTGCCAAATGATGGAAGTAATGCGTTTGCATGTGTTTTTCGCTTACGGAGCCACATTGTTTACGAGAAAGAAAAAAATTATTCGAACGATTGAACGCTATGAAACTATAAGAGATGTTTAAGATGAAAAACAAGAGTTAAAAACTTTTCATAACAACTTTTGCGATGAACGCTGAATTTCAATAATGCGTTGCTCTAACTATACAACACATCTTATTATGCAGTTTCTTATTTGATTTAAAGCATTGCGTAATAAGTGAAGGGTAATACTTACTCATTAGCATTGTCGTGTCATCATTTTAATTCCTTTTCAATCTTACGGAGTTTTTCCCAAATGCTTTCGTAAGATTTTTTGAATATTCCAAAA